CTCCTTCTGGAGACCCTGTCCTGGAGGGGCTGCCTGGGCAAACAGGTAGGTAGTCAGGGTACCTACCCCAAGGCAAAGGACAGAGAACTGGCCCAGGCCAGGGGGCCTGAATTTTAAATTCAGCTTCTGGAACTTGAAGCTGAGTGGCTTCCTGTACCCGTGGGGCCTACCTCGGTTTCTCTACCTGTAATACCAGTGTATCAGGCCAGATGATTTCTTTGTCCCCGTTTAGAGCAAACACCTTTCGCTCCCCCCACCCCCAATTGCCTTTAGCAAATGTATGTCCCATAATTTATACCCTTTGCTACCTTTGTGGCTGGACTAGCCTGCAGCCCCATTTATCAGGTGCACCGACTGACCCCAGTGGGAGAATTTCTAACAGTTCTGTTGGTCAGGTGCCCCATGTAGCGCGTTGCGGGCCTTAGCCCATTCACTATCCAAAGTCCCAGTGAGGGTACGAACTATCTCGTATATCCCTGGGTTTTTTGTTGTTGTTGTTGTTGTTTGTTGTTGTTCCTCCGTAAGAAAGCTGAGGCACAGGGAGTAAAGTGGATCTAGAGAAGGAAAGCTGAGTGCCCCAGCCCCAGAGATTAATGACTTGCCCAAGGCCCCAAGGTTGGGGGGAGGGGGCGGGTGGACGGTCGAGGTTGGCTCCTCCCCGCTGCGCAGGCCCCGCGGGCCGATTCACCGCCTGCGTTTCTCTTTCTCCCCGCAGGGCCTGGCCATGTCGCCTTTCGGAAGCCTGTTCCCTTACCCCTACACGTACATGGCCGCGGCGGCGGCCGCGTCTTCGGCCGCGGCCTCCAGCTCGGTGCACCGACACCCCTTCCTCAACCTGAACACCATGCGCCCGCGGCTGCGCTACAGCCCCTACTCCATCCCCATGCCGGTCCCGGACAGCAGCGGCCTGCTCACCACCGCCCTGCCGTCCATGGCCGCGGCCACGGGGCCCCTGGACGCCAAAGCCGCCGCGCTGGCCGCCAGCCCGGCCTCGGTGGCCGTGGACTCAGGCTCGGAACTCAACAGCCGCTCCTCCACGCTTTCCTCCAGCTCTGTGTCCTTGTCGCCCAAACTCTGCCCGGAGAAGGAGGCGGCCACCAGCGAACTGCAGAGCATTCAGCGGTTGGTCAGCGGCTTGGAGGCCAAGCCGGACAGGTCCCGCAGCGGGTCCCCGTAAAGCCCTCCCTAGAAAAAAATCTCTTCATTCCAGTCTCCAGTCTGCAGTGCACTTTGTTGGATGTAAAATAAACCACGGGCGCGCCGTGGGATTGGCCCTTTGTGCAGTCCTGTCTGGGAAGGGGTGCCGGACTCCTCGAGAATGTGCTAGAAACAGGCCCTGTCTTCTTGGCGTGGTTTATATATCCAGGATCTGACTCAGATTCTGGGGCCCAGAAATGTCTGTTGCCTTGAGCTGTTGGGGTAGGAGTTAAACCATTTATAGCCACAGCACCTCCCGCCACAAGGCTGGTCTGGTTGCTGTGGAGAGAAAAAAAGGTAGCCAGGCCCACCAGGAGGGGAGGTGTTGAAAGGCTTCTCCCCCAGTGCAGATTTATATATATATATATATATATATATA